GTTGGACAAAAATATCAACCGCAATTCACAAACTCATCAATCAAACTAGGAAAGAGCTTTCCAGGCTTCATTGCTTGGGTTTGAATGCCAAATGAACGAGAAAAAAAAAGATGTATTTTCAACTTAATCTGCAGTAGCACAGACTCCTTTTGAAACGGTCTGTTCAAAGAGAGCCAGTCGGGCAGACAGACCACATATCTACTGGGAGCCTGTGTGACAAACCTTTAGCCGAGTGACACGTTAAGCAAACCTATAAATAGCATCTCCACATAACAGTAGGGACATTGGTCCTTTGGATCAAGAATACTTTGGGAGAGTACATTTGTTTGATTGAATCTTCAGTCTTCTTGAAGTTGAATTGTTTTTGGGAAATATGTCGTACAGTATTTTCTCCTACAAGGGTTTTTTATATTTGTGGAAAGAGACAGTGCCAAGAACCAAACCATTGGTGGCTTTCATGAGGTCAGAGAAAAGCAAACTTTTTTTTAAAGCTTCAGATTCTCTCCTCAGGTTGTTAACCAGAGAGAGAGAGAGAGAGAGAGAGAGAGAGGGAGAGAGAGAGAGGGAGAGAGAGGGGGAGAGAGAGAGAGGGGGGGGGGGAGAGAGAGAGGGGGGGGGGAGAGAGGGAGGGAGAGAGAGAGAGAGAGGGGGGGAGAGAGGGAGCAAGAGAGAGAGAGAGGGAGAGAGAGAGAGGGGGGGGAGGGGGAGAGGGAGGGAGAGAGGTCAGTGTATGACTGGAACTGATGCAGTGTTGTGACCGTTTTAATAAATGTAATATAAAATGTTTTCATAATACTTGCTGAAATGGATTAGGCCCTTTGAGCTTTGGAATGATTCATTTTCATGTTTGGAACCGTTTGAATAAACCTTTCTGAATCAACTGAGTGGGAAAATTAAAAAAGAAAAATGGACCATAAAAAGAAAAAAACCTACCTTCACTGAGGCCAGCTGGCTTCAGTCCAAATGACTTCTTATGTTATGCCAAAAACAATCGGAGTCTCATTTTTCTGTCAACACTATATAGACACACTCGATGCACACACAGAACTGCCTGCACACACCTGTCTAATCCACTTCTGTTTGATACGCCTTTCCAAGACTATCTTCAGTTGTCCATCTTTCCTTCTGTTAGCAGTTGCTGGCTTTTCCTTTGGTGGGATTTAAGCTGCACCCCCCCCCCCCCCCCACCTCCTCTCTCTTCCATACTCATGCCTCTTTCATTCTCTCTCTGCCTCTTGTGCCAGCCTGCATCCCTTCCTTTCAATTAGTCAAACCTAAAGAGATCCAGCACTGTACTGCCCCTCCTCCGCCAAACCCCACCTCCTCCTCTTCTGCGTCTTGATGGTTCTGTCACTTTTTCTCAATTAGCGGACCTGACAGGCAGCTAAGCCTGCTCCTCCTCTCCTCTTGGTCTTCCTCCGCCACCCTCTCTCTATTTCCATCCATCTCATAAGTGTTAGAGATATTTTTTTCAGAGATTTACATTATTCTGCATCTTAGAAAACTTAAAGAAACCCCCATCGACAACTGTTCGTCAAGCTGGTATCTTCATGGCAGGTTTTGGAGTCCATAGCACTGAATGGCTCTCTTCTAGTGCATAACGAAACACTGTCATCTGCCTCTAATTCAGCAGGCTTAATTCTCCTCTGCCTCTAGGTGCTTTTCTATATCCAGCCCCCCTTCTTTGTCCTCCCTGTCAGCTTGCTTCTTTTAACCTACCATGCTGTGAGAAATACCTCCAGAACTTCTAGAAATCCCTCCCTGGGATGCAGCTCTGTTTGTTCTGCCTCTCGCCCCTGCTCCGCCTGTGGAAAGGAGGGCATGCGCTGCGATCTCCCTTCTGCCATTCACTGCCAAAGCAGTCTTGCTTGTGTGTGTGTGTGTGTGTGTGTGTGTGTGTGTGTGTGTATGTGTGTGTGTATGTGTGTGTAGAAAGAGCAGAAGAGAGCGAGGCTGCTGTGCAGTCAGCAGACTGCACTAAGACCCTGCTCACGTCGCCTGCAGCAGGAGCAGCGGCAGCAGCTTCCTTGTCCTGGCCAGATTAATGGCTGAATGGGCTCTGCCGTGCCCAGCAGTCCCCCTCTTGCCGCACCAATGGAGGGCATGCTGAAACTGAGCGGGCTGGCATTATCGGGCACAGCCAGACCACGCTGTGAAAAGGGATTACGCCGTCAATCGTCACGCTCACAAACAACATGCTGCCGCAGAAAAAAAAAAAAAAAGCCCCTCTACCAGCTTGGATAAAGACTGCCAAACAGCTCAGTGCTTTTTCTCACTCACAAAAATCAGAGAAAAACGTCTTGCTTTAACAAAGAAAAGCCCCTCTTCCCACTGTAGATGAATGGGCATAAATAGGTGTGCTTATTAATCATGACAGCAAAGAAAGAGGCAGAGACAAAAGTGGGAAAGCGAATAGAATAAGATAGGTAAAAAGATAGTTGAAACAAAGAGAAAGAGAAACGTAAGGGTGTGTAATTATCAGCCCATTGCCCTCAGAAAGCAGCACCTCCTGTGTTATTGCAGGGCTGTTTGCCCTTTCTGTGCATTTCATTAATTAAGATGGGAGCATGCGGAGGCCTCTTTGAGACGGGGTCATTAAGCCCACCACAACACTCCTCCCTCCCCAGAACCGGCTCGCAGCACTGGCCCCATTGTTCCAACGGCAGAAAGTGAGATATTCTACACTCTGAGCTCCTGTTAAAACCACAACGCTGTACGAGCAAAAACAACCCCCCCCCCCTTCACACAAACACACGCACGGCCAAATGAATTGCATCTGCGCCTTTCCTGGATAAGGTCGCACGCTTGCCAACACAAATACGTCTGTCTTTCATTTAGCTTGTAGGGCCATGTTTTCCTCTCTTTATCCCCCCCCCCTCCTCCTTCCTTCACTCCGTCTGTGAGCTGCGTTTGAAAGTGAGGCTGGAGGGTGAGACAGGTGCAAAAGCAGAGAAAAGGAGACGTGAACCACCTGGACTCTGTCGATGACTTAGAGGTCACTGAAATACGTGTATGTTGTGCTGTTGGACAGTTGAAATCTGTCTTGATTGCACATAATTTACAAAGAAACACTAAGACAAATAGTTAACTATACGTTTATCTCTTCTCTTTATGACTTTCTTTTCCATCTTGTATTTCCTTACGTCCCTGACTTTGGTTCATTCATGATCAAAGGTCTATATGTTCATTTTTTATTGCTGATTTATTCAACTTGTATGTCATTTTGTGTAGTTTGGAAGGGCTCAAAGTTGGCATTTTATCTTACTTTTGAGAATATTCTTTAGTCAGTAGTCAGTAATGAATATCCTACTAGACTTTCATAATACTGCCCTGTTTTTTGCAATTTACAGTGCTTTAACTTTGTTATGAAATGTCTTTCATGCAACCATGCAAAATGATTTATTGCACAGTATAAGGGACATAGGCTGAATTTAATAGATTAGTTTGGATGTTAATTTGTTGTTTGATGTTACAACCCACGTACAATAAGTGAGTTGTCATAGTGATGCTATTTCTTGTCCTGATATTGCGTTTGGTTTTCATCTCCATCCATGTTCCCTCTCCGCCCTCCACCTTCAAAGTTCTTTGTTTTTTTTAATGTCCCCTCACAAAATGAGTTTTGTGTTTGGTTGTGGTGTAAATGATCTCCAGATGGAAGGGATTTAATAGGCCCAGGTGTACTGGCTTACAGGCACAACTTCAATATGACCTTTTACCTCTGATGTAGGTTAGTCAAGGTCAGCTCTTTCTTCGTGGTAAACAAGCTTCAAATCTATCCTTATCACCCCATTCAAAAGGGCAGAGGTTTCTCTGCCAATTGTGTGTGAGAGAGAAAGAACGAGCCATATGTTTCAAAGACAAATTTCATACATTACAGCAATCCCCAGGATAGTCTTGTATTGTGTGTGTCTTAACTCAGGCAGGAAAGGCAAACATGACAGGCACAGCCAGTACTTATTTGCGTATGAACACAACCAGCTGCACTGGACCTGAAGGATTATGCTGGGTTAGTCTGGATAACTGAATCTTGGTGATTATTGTCCTGTCTTATCAGTTATCTCCCTCTCTCTGCTTTCCATCTCAGCAGCTCCAGGGTATCCCAGATTCTCAGGGAGTTTGGCCCACACTTTCCTTCCCATGAGCCACTTGGATCACCATGCCAACAGTGGAGTTCTTTATGGGCAGCACCGTTTCTATGACACCCAAAAAGGTGAGTCGTGATGATTAAAATGTCATAGAAATAAGACATTTAAATCCAGTTTTTGTAACTTAGTATAATTTAATTTGCTAAGGGAATATAATTATACCTACCAACACTATCAGGTGAGCTGACTAATCACATTTTGTCGTAGCATTTATCTATCTAGACTAATGTGTTTGTCTTTTTTGCCTGTCCTTTTTGTACATTAGAAAACTTCTACCTTCGAAGTCTGCCGTCCCAACCACCTCTCATCTCAGCTAATCACAGTCTGCCACCAATGTCCAGGGCAGGTTCAGGACACTCTCAGGGGTCCTGTAGCAGAGAGAGAGATCCAGGTGCAGGGACAGGACTACATAAAGGTCTGAAAGAGGGATCCGTAGAGAGAGGAGTGGGAGCTGCCAAGGACAAGGAGAGGTCCAGCAGCAAACAAGATGCAAAGGAGAGACAGCAGCACCAACAGCACCACAGCCACCAGCCACCACAGCCCACACACCACCACCATCACCACCACCATTCCCACTCACATCAACAGCATCAACACTATCCACAGCACACGCTACCCTTGGAGGAGGTGAACAGTCGGGCAATGGAGAGGCACAAGGCATCACTCCCAATGGAGTACAGCAAGGAACACCCTCAGACTATGGGCAAGCCCCTCAGTGCCTGCTTACACAATGGCAAAATGCAAAATGGAGATGCAGGAACTGGAGCAGGGGGCAAAGCCTCCATGTCCAGTTTTGGTGGGGAGGGCACAGCCCTTGGGGCTATGGGAGGTGGGGGGAGCAGCCAGGGCAGACATATGGGGTCCAGTGGCAATGGTAGATGCACCAAGGAGGGGGTTATTGGGGAGATGAGGATCAGTGAACAACCATCAGACTGTTTAGAAAGGGGTCAGGCCCCACTCCACCATTCTCTGTCCTACTCTGTACCACCACCCTTACATATGGGTTCTGCTGCAGGAGGGGCACATCCCCATTCTCATTCTCACCCCCATACACATCCTCATCCAGGGAGCTTCCCTTGCCTTCAGCTCCACCCCAGTCACCCACATCACCCACACCATTCCCACCATACACACCACCACCCAGACTTCTTCTGCCCACCTCCTCCGGCTCCTCTTGCCAACCCTGCCTCACATGACAGGGGGCCGGCCAATGTGGTGCAAGAGGGTAAAGTCACTGGAGCGACATTTGTGCCATCTGTGGCAGACCTTGGGGACAAATCAAGTGGGCCATTCCAGCTTGGTAACCCTGACTGCCAGGGTGTGGGTAGTGGAGGGGGAGGTGGAAATGCAAAGGATAAGGCAATAGAAAAGAATGGAGGCGGTGGGCACCATAGTAGTTGGCACAGAAAACAGCAGCAACAACAACAGCAGCAGCAGCAGCAGCAACAGCAGCACCCATACAGAAAGACTGAGAAGGCGCCAGATTGGATGCAGTCCCATCATCAGCATCTTCAGCCATCACAGCTTCCTCCACCTCCTCAACTACAACAGTCGCCGCATCCACAACAGCAGCACCAAGTTGCACGGTCGCGAAGCGCTGAGTGCATCAACAGCGGTGTAGACATGGATGTGTTTCGGTCCACGCTTCCCCAGGGGCCAAAAGCTGGACACTCTGTTCCTCATTCTGTCAACACTTCACCTTACAGAGACTGTTCCCATCCAGGCCCCCCACCAAACGCCTCCCCACTCGGAAGTAAAAGCATGGGGCAACATGGTGGGGCTGGAGCACCCCATGGACCTGGTCCTGGGGGCAGCTGCTCCTTACAGAGGGACGGCCAAAAGGTAGCCAGGATACGCCACCAGCAGCATGGACGACCTGGCCCAGATGCTCCTTCTCCTGCTGAGTTGAATCAGGTGACGGGACAGGAGTTGAAAAGAAAGATAGACATGTCTCCGTATAGTTTCAACAACAACAGCGGGCAGCACCACCACCAGCAGCCTCCAGTGCCATCCTGGGCCATGAGGCCTCCACACCACATGTCACAACCGGAAGAGGAGCAGAGGAAGTCGTACATGGAGTTGGGGAGCACTGGAGGGCAACACTCCCAACAGCAGCAACAACAACAGCAGCAGCAACAACAACAACAACAACAGCAGCAGCAACAGAGAATGAGCTTGCCACCTCCCCAACCTTCCCCTGTTCCTCCACTCAATCAGCAACAGCAGCATCAACAGCAGCAACCTGAGCCCCAGGGCCCAACTCAAGGGGAAAGCAGTGCCATGAAAAGCTTACTTAAGTATAGCAACCAGCAACAGCCACTGCTCCTCTCCCAGAAAAGCCCCTTTGGGGGGCTTGGGAACCTCAAATCAGGTCCCGCTGGTGGGAGCTGTGCTTTGCAGGGCAACAAACAGACCCTACCTTCCAGGAAGGGCCCCACCAATGAAAACGAGCGCCCTGATTACAGTGGAAGAAGCAGGGATATCGGAGAAGCCGGACATGGAGAAATAGAGGTGCGGCAGCCCCCGGTGGGAATCGCAGTGGCGGTGGCCAGGCAAAGGGAGCCACCTTGTCGCTCAGCAGACGGTCATTCCAACAGCCGACAGGGAAGGGTTCATCCCTCAGTGAAAGGTAGGGGGCTAGGTCACTGCAACCTACACAGAGCTGAAGGGAACAGAAGGAACAGAGACCCGTTTAGTCTTTATCTCTTACCTTGTAATTGCCTACTTTTAAAAACAAAGAAAGAAATACAGAAAGAGAAAAAGTCTAAACCTGAAAATGTTTTTGAAGTCACAAGCCATACCCAACTTTTTTAATGATTTGATAAACTGTCCATTATCGTGTGTAATTCTCACTGGCCGTCACTTCTAGTACATTTAAATCTGATTTGATATGATCTACAACAGGCAGAATCATCTCCAATCAAACTTGAATAAGGACCATACTTGACAGCATTAACATAACAGTTTATCATAAATTAGTATATTTAACACACAGTTATTCTTGAATCCCTGGACGTTACATTTCAGTAAACTAATAAACTAGTCAGTCCCTTGTGAATCATTGTAATGTTTAGCAAAATGGTGAGGGGCCTAGGGAATCCATTGCCATTGGACACCAGAATGAATGATAATTATTAAGCTAATCTTTGTCTCACAGGACTCCCCCGCTCCATCTATCCCTCAGACCCTACCACTGAAGAGGAGAGGAAGAGGATGAGTGGGGAACAGATGGGTCTGAATTGTTTAGACAGAGAGAGGGAGGTGTATATCAGGTAAGTGACTTAATAGCCATTTTGTCATACTCAGTTTCATTCTCTTTCTCTAATAAACGGTCAATATCATGTATTTGTTTTGCCTCATGTTTGTCTCGTCTTCATTCCAGGGATAATAAAGAAAGGGTCGAGTTTGCAAGAATCCATCCCTCCAACAGTTGTCATGGGGACCTCACCTCTCATCTTATGGTCCCAGGCGGGACTACCCTCCAGTCTGGCCAATTAGGAGATCCAGCTGCACATTCAGCTCACCATCATTGGATGCCAAGAACTGGTAGCCCATCCCTCTGGATGACAGGACACTCCTACGGTGAGAAAACACTTATAGCTTTGGAAATTAAGAGGGGGAATTTGCTTACCCTTGGTGACTGCCTTCATCAATTTCCATCCTATAAAACATTGTTCACACACACACTGCGATCTAGAAAATTTCCAGACATGTCCTCTTCATGTTATTTCAACAGAAAATATTGCACTGCCTTTAATACATACAGTAGAGTTTCTATAATGCTAAATAGCACATATGATGATGCTTTCAGTATGTTTAATTAGTTCTCAGGAAAGTTCTAACTGAGTCAGGATTTGTTGTTTTCAGCAGTTTTCCAATAGAATGTGCATGGTATATTTATCTTTAAACTGACCTCCTTTCTCTATAGCAGGTATAGGTCACACAGCTTTGCACCAAAATCTACCCCCAGGTTTTTCTGCAGCCATGCAAGGCCCTCTGCAGCCAGTTCTGCCTCTGCCCCAGGACCCCTCTACTCAGCTGGTGGTGCTGCCCACAGAGCCTCCCTCCCATCCTGCAACTCATCACCTTGGTATGCCCATAATCATTCTTTTTCTTCTGTAAAGCCAAGTGTATTCGGAAAGCACTATTGACAAATTCATTGCAAGGAAGACAAAAACTAACCTGAGGTGTGTAAATAATGTAATATACACACGAGACCATTCCAATCTGCCTTCATATTCTTCCACACGTTCAATCCCAAAACCTTAGAAATGCACTGAATGTAGCCTATAATACATGTTTGCAAACATCTGACTAGTTATATCAGTGTTTGTTAAAACATTATAATTAAATTAGGTAAAAAATGAATAGAGAATCTCATAAATCTACCTTTAATAGGCTCATTCACAGACCCCCCTCCTCACACACCACTATTCAAACTCACACCACCTGCCAGCCCCAGCAGGAATAGAAACTTCAAGTGGTCAGAAGTATCAGAATCCAAAACTACACTGTATGTACGATTCCCCCTACACAGAGTAAAAGGTATGTGAGTCAGGGGGTTACGGGAAAGATCACTTTTCAAACTCTGCGTAGACATATTCAGCGAAGAGGCTGTGACATTTAATTAGCTCACAGTCTTCATCGGTACATTTCCTTCTGTGCTCCACAGGAGTTTCAGCTGAGAAAGGAAATGCATCCGCAAAAATCTTTCCCACAGGAAACATTTGCGTATCCAAGCCTCCGTCTCTGAACAAGGATTTTGAATGTGTCTCTGAGAAAGGGGGTGGAAGGGCGAGTCAGGGGTGAGAGAATAGGTTACTTTTGGTGTAGGCCAACTACTTCCCAAGTGAAACCTGTCATAGCACCCACATGGAGTTGTAATACTCCTAAAAGGCACAGATTGAGAAAGGTTTTTCACCCATAGGCTTGGGAACTTAACCTCCTTGGTCCAGTTGCAGAGCCTTTTTGTTGTGTGGTTTGGCTAAGCAGGTGGGACTTTTGCAGCAAAAGTCCACATTGAGTGCATTTCCAGCCCAGTATTTTGACCTCTGATCAACTTTAACCATCATCATCTGTTCACATTTCATCACTGTCATGATTTTTTTTTTCCAGCATTCCAGCAAACTCTCAAGGCAGTTCTTAAGACACAGCTTTCTTTTTAGAAAGGGGGAGAGTGTGGGATTCTTGTGCCTGGGGAGATGATGTTCAGTGAAGTCAAAAATATTTTTTTAAGAGATTTGTCTCTGTAGTTGCTGTGGAACGTAAATGGAAAGGTTTTTAAATGATCCATAATGGTTTTACTGTTTGAAATTGGTGTGTGGGAGGTAGATAATGAGAAATATGGATAACAAAATACTGTGTTTTAGTGGGTTGTGCGTAGTGTTTGTGTGCATGAATCCAACGTGTGCACACGTATGCATGTCTATGTTTTCTAAGGTAGCCCCCTCCGTCACATTCCTCCTCCTTTTTCTCATTAGATGTGATGGAGCAGCCAGGGCTGTGGCCCCCTGTGTATGGCGCCCGGGGCCCACCCTCCCACATGCAGCATCCTGCTGTGTACTCCCGCTCCCAGTTTCTACGGCAACAAGAGCTGTATGCTCTCCAGCAGCACCAACAACTTCAGCATCAGCATCAGCATCAACATCAGCAGCACCAGAGCCACCAGTCACAAAAACCACAACCACAGTCTCAAACCCAGCAGCAGCAGCAGCAGCAGCAGCACAGAGCTGCACATGACATGGAAATGCAACATCATGCATCTCACAATGCCCAGGTAATTGTTCAGGAAACATATATGCGAGAAAATGATTTTGATCATAGTGTGAAGAGGGTTTGATCAAAGTAGATGTCCACAGATCTGTCTATGAAGAGAAAAAGAGTAAAGTAGAGTTTGTGAGGCATGAGTCAGCTTTAATCCTCACATTACCATTAGGTCTATTTTTAACTCTCCCAATTTTTTCTGGGATATGCTGATTTTCTCACAGTGATGAAGTCAATCTCTGAATACAGGCTGAGAAGCAAATAGCTTTAAGTGTTTGAAAGTTTGCTTTTGTTACTTCAGTATCTGTATTATTCGACTTTATTTTTTCAAAGCTTAGTGGATTAATTTATTAAATAAATAAAAAATAATAAATGGAAAATGAAATGAAAGGATTTTGTTATTTCATTGGTAACATAGAAATCTACTTTCTTGAGAAATGTAATTAATATCTCTTTTTTTTTTTAACGTCATAGATGCAGAAGAGGCCGGATGAGCCCTCAGTTGAACTAGAAGAACTCATTTCAGAACCAAGAACGCCTAAACCTGCCAAGCCCTACTCGTACAACCAACATCAGAGGAACACTTCTCCCCCGGGGGCCTGCACTGCTCACCTGTCCCCTTGTTGCCAGTCTCCCTCACTACGGCCGCATCCTAAAAGCACTCCCTCCACACCGTGCCCTGCTCCCAGCCCTGCTGCAGCAGCCCCTCACTCGCCTGTCATCAGCCCGGCCCCACCTCAAATGCCCAAGGGGAATGAAGCCCAGGATAAGAGAGTAGAGGGACAGCCACCACAGGATTACCCAGAGTCTCTGGAGCCAGGTAAGAATTACCAAAAACATCCATAACCAAAGAATATTTTACAGCTGCTATTGCATTCCATGCAATACACAGCAAAAGAAAGTGAATTCTTGGCTATTGCACAACATTAAATATTATAATCAATGTTAATTACAATGGCCACTCTTAATAATGATCATTTTTTCTGCTGGTGTTGTGGTAATATGTGTGGGCGGCTTTTTTGGCAAGCCACTGATTTACTGAAGAACTCAAAGCTGCAGATTAAAAAGGCTGTTCGCTGTGCTGGGTTTTTTCTAGCACTGTTACCTTGGTAATGACTGAGAAACACCTCAATAGCATCCCTTGCCTCTCCCCCGCCCCCACGGGTCTCACACTCTCTTCATCATCGTTAATGTCTGGCTAACGGCCACTGAGCGCCAAAGAAATTGTGTCAGCTGCTCTGAAAAACCAAAGGCTTGGCCCACTTCAAATAACACTCTTCTAAAAGATTGCATGTGGTCTCCTATTGCTCTGACTACTGTTATATCTGGAAAGGTGCTTTTCCTTTTCCTTATTTGTGCCCTTTTGACCTCATAGGTAGTATACTAGTCAGGGAGTTTTCTCTAGCGTGAGCCTGATGAGTGACCAAGAAGCGGCATGAGATAAGATTTAGATATTTCATAGGACGAGCCATCAAAATTGTTAAGCCAATATTTGTTTGTTTCTGTAGATCTGCCTCCTGGATATACCTACCCTGCTATGACCATGGGCTACAGGGGTGGACCCTCCCCCCAGGATGTTCGACTGGCTGAGCCGGCCGACCTGGAAGCTGTCCAAGCGGAGCCTCCTGAGCATGTTCCCCAGTCTCTCTCCAGCCTGGGGGAGGGGCTAGAATGCCAAGCGGTGGTCAGGCCCCTCCCAGAGTCACACCCACCCAAGGAAGTGGAGCAGGAAGAAGGGAAAACTATTCCTGAGAGAGTTCTGGAACAGAAGGAGGAGGTCGAGGTAGCGGCAGTGACAACAGCCAACTATGTGCCTGGAGAGAAGGAGGTGGAGGATCAGGGGCCCGCTGAGGAAGAGGTCCTGGTTTGCCCCCCTGCCGAGAGCCCCGTGTGTGAGGCTGCTTCTTGTCCAGTCTCCCTTTCAACGGAGGAGCTGGAAAGGCCACAGGCTGTCATCACCCTGGAAGAGGAAGAGGATGATGTGGCAGTGGGTGAGGAGAGCCAGGTGGAGCCTGCTCAAAAGGTCAACATGCCTGGAGAGAAGGAGCCAGAGCTGCCCACCATCATTGAGCTTGACCCTGCTTCTCCTGCAGGGCCGGAGTTGCAGACTCCAGCCCAGGAGGAAGCAAAGGACAGCGAGCAGCAGCAGCAGCAGCAGGAGAATGAGACGAGCCCTGAAGATGCCTCAGTGGATTTTGTTTGTCTGTCTCCTGCTTCTGTCTCCAGCCCAAGTCAGGCAGCAGTTGCCGTGCCCAATAAACCTAACGTGCCCTGCTACTGGAGTCTGGAGCTGCTGATTGCTGCTGCGTTCTGCACAGATGTACCCCCGTTCCCCTTGTTCCCTTACAGTGCCCCATTAGTTGCCCCGTCACTACCTAACCCCCACCACGGTATGGAGCTTCTAAGTGAGCTGGCGGATCTTGAGCTACAACAGCAAAAGCGCACATGTGGGAAAAGCCAGGGTGAGTTGTTCCATTACTCATAGACATTAACAAGGGTCTAGAAACATTCATGTGAGCAGAATGCACTTCTTTCTCGTAGCCTACCTTCCTCTTCCGCTGCGTCCACCGAGGAAAAACTCCCACTACCCCCTCAGGCCTAGCCTCGTCGGTCTGCGTTCCCTCTAACATGCTCCTCTCTCCCTGCTGGTCTCGAAGGCCTCTGGTGGATTCTAACATGTCCCCAGAGAAGCTGTCTGCAAGCCCGCTTGCCGTTTCTCGTCTTTGGTGTGTTAAAGGCACTTTTATTTTCTAAAAGGCTGTTCTAACGATGCAGAGGCCTCGGGAGAGGGAGAAGAAGCAGGAGGACCGGGCTGAACTACTAGAGAGGGGTGTACACCTCCCTTTCTCCCTCCCTCTCCTTCCCTTCCAGCTTTCCTTAGGGAGCTTTCTCCGTCTCTCCATCCTGCCACTGTTTGATCCACACGTGTGCATAGATGCACAACACACACACACACAAGAAAGGCACACGCAATTGAAAATACACCAACGTTAAGGAAAAATGGCACACACCACATTGACTTCCCTCTTTCCCACACACAACACGTTACTGAAAGTTAGTGCGTAATCGCAAAAGCAGTCGATGTTTTCAGCACCCTGGAGCATTGCCTGGGTAATTAGACCCCATTGTTTTAAAGTGCCTTTAAAAGCTTCCTTGTTTTTCAAAGCGGCATGTTTTTTTTTCATTTTTTTTATTTATGCAAAAGGATGTTTTGTGTTTACCACAGCATCCTAATGCATTTAACTGCTCCCAACAGAGGTTTCTATAAAAAGGGTATCATCAACTGATTTCAGAGTCAGTGATGTTGTCTTTGAGATGTGATCCTGTTGACAGCCCAGGGAAGTGGCACATGTCAAGTCACAAACAGTTGTCTTTACCAAAACAAGTGCTAAACAAGGGAAAGGATCTGTCTTTTAGTCATACATAGAAAGAAGGCAGTGTTACACGGTAAACAAAACTCATATTTTTATTCATATGCGTCTCTGTGGCGACCCCTGTATTCAGCCTTGAGGCGCGTAGCTTCCGTCAATGAAACAGACAAACTGGGATATTTACGAAGGTCTTGGTCCAGATGGTCACTGACAAATCAGCATCTGTTGAGTTCACAATGATATGACCTCTAAAGCAATATTCTCGTCTTCCTAATGCATTGGTTTGCATGATAAAGTTCCTTACATTTCTGTCTTTTTCCCCATGAACTTCACAAATAAATGAGTGCAGTTGCAAGTTTTGACCATCAGTTTGCACATAACAGGTCCATCTCTTTCTCCTTGACTCTGACACTTTTGAAATCAAGTATGGCATTAACAATATATTTCTGTTGTTCTGTAACAGAAGACGAGTTGCTGATGTTTGACCTCCAGAGCCTCGCTACCCTCGCCACAGCCCGTGCCATGGAGATGGGTACCCAAGACAGCAGCAGTGCGAGTTCTGGGCGACATTACCCGGCCCGCAGGATCCTCAATTTACGCAGGAAATGCAGCTGGACTCCTCGCAATGAACGAGTAAGACTACAACTATGTGTGCTTGTGTTCTCCTTGAAGACAAATACTGTAGAGTTATGATCATTCAGATAAGAAAATGGATGCATTGCGTTGCAACAATGATTAAAAAAAAATAACCTTCAATTATGAATATCTTAGGTGTGCCCGGCCAAAGGTACCATGGAAACAATGGACGGTCCTGAGCTTGCAATGCGTGTCAAGTTGGCTGAGCTACAACGTCGCTACAAAGAGAAGCAAAAGGAGCTTGCCAAACTTCAGAGGAAGCACGATCATCAGTGAGTGCGACCCTATCATCCCCCCCTTTAAGCTCTCGGCTACTTTTTGTTACACATTTCAAAAGCAATACAAATTTGAACCCTTTCTTTTTTTTCTTTTTCTTTTTTACCCTCAGTTTTCAGAGGGTTTTGTTTTGTATTCTCTGCTGGTGAAGGCATTTGAAAGACATGTGTGGTGTCTTTGTCTTGCCTGTGTGTTTACATCTGCTTGTGTATGCAGGAAGGAGGAAACACCTCGCAGCCCAGCACGACGAGGACCAGGGCGGCCAAGGAAGCGGAAACCCACCCTCACCACAGGTCCACTGTCCTCATCTGAGGGCCTAAGAAAAGTCAAGTGAGTATCACTCAGCTAATCTCCGCTGGCTGGCTAAAGTCCAGTCGTGCCTGATAAGCCCCTTTGTGTCACTGGCATACAGGGACTGCCTCTCATTGGCATAAACAGGAAATGGGAGAACACAGCTGAACCATTCAAGAAATTCCACTTGAGTCCTCTTCTAATCTTATCAACACTGGCGTTAATTGTGAAGCACAATCAGTGTCAGTTTGTGTATGTCTGCTGGTACAGAATGTTTATGTATATGCTTGATATATGGACTACTCATACCTTAAAACCACTCATACCCCTCATTAGGCTATAACCCAGCTAATCTTTAACCTCAGTGGCATTACGGTTGTGCATGTTTGGCTTAGCTGTGCCGTGCTGCAGAGGGAGCTGGCTGCTGGGGGGGGGGGGGGAGATGACAGGCAGAGGATGTAATTAGAGTACTGTGAATTCTCCTGTAATCTGTCCCAGCAGCAGGAATGCGACACACCACAGCCCAACAAGGTCACCAGGGGTCCAAAGGATAACACAGTGGTCAGACAGTCCAAGCACTCAGATATAAGCTGACATGTAGAACGCAATGTCCATGTGTGTGAGGGGGATTTTTAAAAAAAAAAGGAATACAGAGCGATGCAGTACAATTGAAATAAAGGGGAAGATGTAGACATTACAAAATATTCAATAAATAAGGCCTTGCATGTCTTTTCAAAGTGTTTCGATTGCATTCATTGTTCTTTAGTTCTAGGGTTACAATTGATGTTTTGTGGTAGTGACGTAACTGGTGAAAAAAAAACAAGACCAAAAGGTTTATCAGATAGAGGGTTTCTGTCAGGCTTCAATTAGCCTTAGTCAGCCTTTTGTGCTCTTAGGCTTAGAGCACAAAATGCAAACACAGAACAGAACCATTTCTCTCACTCTCCATCTCCACACATTGCTGTGGTGCCTGGGCAGCGGTCCACATTGTTCCCAGCTGCCCCTCTCTGATGTCACCTCCACTCTCTTTCCACCCATGTACCCCTGACCCCTTGCCTGGCCAAGCCCCATCGGAAAAGGGATGCTAATGCTGGGTGACAATGACACCCCAAATGAAAGGGTATAGCGGCCAGGGCCCTACAGCAAAATGCAGGGGAGGAAGAGAAGAAGGGCAATATGGGGGCGGTAGGTTGTTCTGCAGGCCCCGGTACAGTAAACTGTAGTCTCTCTCTATATTGGATTGAAATTTTAGCCACAGCTTTTGTACACTTTTATTTTTATTCAAGGCAACCTGGGTAAACATCCTTTAGCTTCTGCAGATGTGTGCGTGTAAAGCAGCAACAGAATGACAAGTACAAGAAGCAGAAAGACTCGGGACTGATTAGCCCCATGTTGAGTTACATGGCAGGGTTATGTAAAAGCATGTGCTTGCACCTGTCACTCATGCCACTACAAGAAGCCGACGCTCGGGTACTATGATAGAGGGCAGTGGGTCAGTGGAGTAACAGCCCAGCCTTTTGGTTTTTTCTTCCTTACCTTAAATTCCTTGAACCACAGGGAGTGTGTGTGGCAAGTGTGCGATAAATCAAAGACTCCGTGCCCGAGCGTTTTATGCATCTCTGCAATTAGGCATAGATGCAGCTGTGTGCTCATGAGCATTTACAGTGTGCAGACATTGTTTGTTTTTGTGCATGCCTGATATTCCTGTGGGTAGAGCGCTGGAGTCCTTTGTGGTGCTGCTTTGATTGGGGGGAAGGCTGGAGAGAACTGCCGCTCGCCAGAAAACCCTGCTAATCAATTCTGTTTAATTAGTCACTGTATGCTCAGCCCCAACAGCCCCCCACAAAGGGGAGGGACTCTGTCATATTGTGTTTGTCAGCAGCGGGAGGCAAGCTGTGGCGGGATGTGCCTCACAGGGACAACTCACACTCCGCTGCCACCTCTGTCACTCTCCTGTCAGTCAGTGGGCAGACAGTCCCACTGCCCGGCAATCACCTTCATTCTCTTCTTTGTCTGTTAGAGATGCAGGCTGACACACACTGATTAAAGAGAGAGCACGCAACTGAGGCCTCAAAACAAAAAGTGTATTTTTGGTGTTTTTGTTTCAATACTGACTAAGCAAAGAAGCCAAAGCACAACTGATTCAAAACACTGTCACCAAGTTCACGGTACAATATGAAAAAGACCTTGTGTAATAAAACTTTACGTACTTCCCATTTAAACCCTGCTTACTGTGTAAATATGACTGATTTCCTAGACAGTAAGCACACTAGAGAGAGAGTAAGTTAATCTTTTGTTGGCCAGGCTCATGTTGGTGTGGCATTTTGAGGGGTTTGCGTGTGATGCTGTTCGGTGGGGAAAAAGTGTGCCACCGTTATATGAAAATGCAACTGCAGAGCTATGAAATTCACTGGGAACAAGAGAGCTGCATACAAATGCAATGCCTCCCAACCATCTACTCTATCATTCAAAGCTATGCAGTGCTTCAAGGGCTGCAGAGACACTCCCTAGATAGAGCTTTAAGGTTTCTTATGCCACACCGCCCTCAAACAATCCCAGGTTCCTTGTTAGATCCCATTTTTTCCAAGTATGTTGGTTCAGACAGTGGGCTCTCCATGTCCTTTTTTTGTCATTCTGTTCATCAGACAGAGAAAGGAGAGTTATAAGATCCCACTGAGAGGTGATTCAACTCTGTTTCCCCCTGTGATGTCCTACCCCCTCTTTTCTTTTAAACTACTGCTATTCTTCTCTAATGAATGCCTCTCCCTTGTTTTGACTGGCAGGTCGCTGGGGGCGGGGCTTGCTCTGTCGCCTGAGGACCTAGGAGGGGGCGGAGACAGCCAGAGAAGGAAGAAGAGGCTGTCCAGTCGAGGCTTTGAGCGACTCGGCAGCACACAGGTCAGGGTCCCCTTGTCCTCCTCCCTTTTGTCCTCTATGCAACTACACATGAAAAAAAGGGCCACTCTTTGTTTCTGTGCGTTTGATTTATTCCTTTGTTGTACACCATTTCTAATTAGGTGCAACCCTCAGGAGTCAAATCCTCTGCTCTCCATATTAATATCTCTTTTATTGGGGCTTCTACCATTCCTCTTTTTTCTCTGTGTGTGAGCAGAAGAGAGCCCTCTCTCTCTCTGACGTTTTGATGCTTTTGCCGCTGCTGTGACCGGGAGTGTAACTGGCTCTCTCTGGCTCTCTCATCTTTCTCTGTTGCAGCAGATAAAAGCACAGGGCTGCAGAAAAAGCAGTCTTCACAGCCTGCTCAGCTCCAAGCTGGCCAGTGATGTGACTCAGCTCAAACAGAAAGCCCATGGTAAAAAGAATCTCTCAGGGACAGGCTCCAGGGACAAGGAGCTTTCGCCCTGTAACTCCAACCCCAAGCACAGACACCGAAGCCAGGGCACAAGCAAAGTCGAGTCTAGGCTGGAGTCTGGGGGACAAAGTGACACAGGTAGACACTGGCAATCATGATACTAATAGTTCCTTAATGCAGTTTTGTTTGAATAAGAATATCACTGTTTTCAGTTTAAAATTTCACAACCTTAAATTCTTCCCAATTATTTTTAACATAGATTTTGATTTTTGATTATTCCCAGCAGCCAGTGGCGACAGTGGTACCCAAGAGAGCTGGACGGGACTGGTGCGCCGAGGACGTACAAAGGGATCCAACTCCCTTTCACAGGGTTCCTCTCGTCTGAGTCAGTCCAGATCAAGAGTTCTCCACGGCCAGAGACGGGACACTATGGAGGAGGGAGAGAGCTCCCCTGCAGAGAGCGTCTCCTCTGATCAAGGTGAGACTGTGAAAACTGAGAGGTTATTGAACTGGTTATTATGAGTCACATGAAGTGAAACGAAAAGAGGCAAACTGGCCATCGCAACCCAATACAGCAAAGTGGTGATTAGGGGAACTGCAGGGTAACTCAAGACACGTCATAATACAATACGACAGTATATCATAGGATACGGTATGATAAGAGATACATGACAGATGAGTTGGCAGGGAAATCTGCTGAAAGTGCCATATGTTTTTAATTAAAATATCAACATTTGCCAAGTACACCCATCCTGTCTTGTAGTTATTATTGTCCTCTGATAGCGTGAAATACCTGGAGTATTCCAGTACAAACCAGGATGCTGTGTCATTACATTCTGTACTAAGAGTGAATGGGCTTGAACCTTGTCCCCACCCACAGGGATCCTGGGCCCCACTATGAGGGCATTGAGCTAAGTACTTTGTAAGAGATGATTTTTGTAAAGATAAGACTAAATCTTCAACACCCAAAGAAATAAAAACAGCAAACAATGAACAAGGGCTACAGTACATGAAGCACATTTTACTTGTTTCAAGTTCAACATAAACAGCATACAGTATTTATTTTCTGACTCGAGTATCACCAACACATTGAATCAGGTATCCTCCTCAGATAGCAGTTTAAGTCCAGTGTGTCTTTTGTTAACTTGTCAATCAGGTTAAAAGTAATCAGAGGTAAGTTAATATGTGTTGATGAATGTCAGGGGCTGGGTGTGCATGGACATTCGACACCTCAGTGACCTGGCCTTGTTGGCCGGGCTAGGCTGGATGTGCAGCCACAGCTGTGGACACTTGCCTGTGAGCGGCTTTGACAGCACTGGAGACTCGCAGACTGGGTCAAAGAGCTGCTTGAGAAAGTGCAGTGACAACCCAAGCACATAAACTCACTCCTACACTCCATTCCACATTGACTCTGTAGCATGTGGGTTAACACCAGGAAATACCATAGAGGCAAGGCACTTCATATATGATTTCTGTGAACAGAAACTATTTGCTTAAATGCTAATGAAGTGCCTGTAAAATGATGGCGAGTAAGTGATACAACTTGACAGCTTGATATTGACTTACTTTAAAATGGATTAGATAAGTTGCATGCAAGTTCATAAACCTTCCAATGAGAGCACTTCAATATTTTTTTTTCCTTCGCTATCTTCGTTAGACGATGAAGAAGAGGACGGCAGTTATGATACAGATGAAGGTCAAGACTACAGAGCCCAACCTCCCAGAGATGTTACTTCTAGTTCCTCCATGACCGGTCCGAGTCCCTCATCTGTTGTAAAACTTGAAGCAAATCAGAAAGCCAGGAACAAGAAACAGAGACAGGAGCTTTATGGTAAGACAGTCCCCTGAAACTGATCCGTAAGTCAACAAAGCTGCCCCACAAGTTTCATGGGAAGCATCTGTTTTGTGTTTCTCTTCCTGGCTTGTTAGCTGTGTCTAAATCTGTTTCTCTGACTGAATGTGCACAGGCTCCCAGTGTCTGTCTGGAGCAGAAGGGGAGGTCAAAGTTAGAAAGAAGCCACCCTGTAGGCTGGGCCTGGCCACGTCCGTCAAGAACCATCATGACGAGTACCGGCCCGAAGGGGTGAGAAGGCCATGTGTGCCCAGGTCTAAGGAACCTCGATGGGGTAGCCTCGGGACCAGAGGCAACCGCTACCGGAGAAGCATGGGACTGGCCACCTTCCCAACTACCAGTGAGAGGCTAAAGAGGGCGACACGCAAGAGCACTATGTTGAGAGGAGTAATCAATAAGGTGAGCAAAAAAAGTGTTTGGAGAAATGTTAAAATGCTGAACACCAAACAATGAATAATCTTATATCGTGAACATTTTGTGAGATAAAGAAATTATCATTTAAAAAAAAAAAAAAAAGTTACAGCCTTATAGGAATGTGTGATGTTTTTTTCTTTGTTGTTGATGTAGTCTTTAAGATAAGTCAGAGTCCAATCCAGAATCTTATTCATCTTCATTTCAACCCTAACAGAGGAGAAGTTGCTGGACCGTTGGAGGCCCATCCTCACAGAGCGAGGAGGGTAGCAGGGGACGTAGGAGCAATGAACAGCAGGTACCAGTCAAAGAGAAGCCACTCCCCCCCCCAAAAAAAAAAAAAACAATCTTCACTTCGCTAACCAGGCACATGCAACCATTAAACAATCCAATCCTACAAAAGTAATCCCTTCACACATTCTATTAACAATTCTGGTGATGTCGTTCCGTCCCAGATTTCTCACCCTAAGGAACGTTACTGTAGAACTATTCAAATTACTTAGCACATAGCACATAGCCCAGCCTCCTGCTGAGTAATCTCAGGGGAGGCAAGGATGGAGGAGGAGATGTGGGAATGGGGGAGAAGCTTACACCTTCTGCTGTGACAGTGAAGAAATTTTTAGAGTTAAGTCACTACTGATGATTGGAAATGTAACAGGCACTGTGATGCCCCCCCCCCCCCCCAACACTGTTAATTGCTTCTTTGAATAGCTTACCAAACCATTTCTTGCATCCATTTATTCTTCTGACTGTCCCTACTGCTCTGTTGTACAGCCAAAGGGACGAGCAGTGAGCCGGCTGCTCGAGAGCTTTGCTGCTGACGAGGGCTTTCAGATGGATGGAAGCAGCTTCTCAGAGGAGGAGGAGGAGGACAGCAAGCATTCGTACAACAGCAAGAGCCCTCAAGGTAAAGATTACACTGGATACCGTTCAGAAGTGTTTGAAGCAGAAGATAAAACTCCTCTCCACTGCACTGCTTTTGGTTTTCTATTAACAAAACTTGTGGATAGAGCCTGGTTCTATTTTTAGCATCCTATTGTCAGCTTGCTGTTCTGATACTAATTGGTGACATGAAAACGACGCAGTCCAGGGAGTGATGATACATCAATCTGAATCTATCTCATCAAGTCAATGATCAAAAATCTATATTTTTCAATGTGAAAAATGTAAAAATATCATATTTCTGGTAGATCTTTGGTACTTTTAGATTGCTACGGCTCGTCTGTGCCATGATTTATATTACATTCTGCTTGTGGTCAAAGGGCATACAATATTTTCTTATAGGTAATTGATAAATACACAGCTAAAGTTCATTAAGTGCATTACTCTACGTAAAGTTCCTGCTCCGGTCCACTGAAGGCCAAACACAGGTGACACAATGTCATTTCACAATGTACCGCTTAATAACAGTTCAAAGTGAGTCAAATCAATCAGAGCCAGAGCCGCCCCAAGCCACAATAGGTTCAGTGATAATGAAATATTTCTTTTGGTCTTTATGCAGTTCCAAACTGTTTCCTGACCAAAGATCGACTAACTGACGGCCTGAAGGTGCTGATCTCCAAGGAAGATGAGCTTCTTTACGCCGCCAGGGTCCACACTCTGGAGATACCTGACATGTAAGCACAGTGTTGTTATATAGTGTTACATGTTGGATATATATATGCTTATATTAAATAACGATTCAAAAGTCATCAATTGAAAATTGTGATTACCTTGTTCTTTTAAATTACAGTTGGATGTTTACACCTGTTTTGTGTTTGTACAGCAATAGCTCTAATATGGGGTTAACTCTGTGCAGTGTTGTATTTCCATGTAAAACCTTTCAATGCTAAAAAGTAATGGGAAATTGAATCAATTAATGATCCTGGAGGCTAACATATCCTTCCAGATATCAACCCATTGGAAAACAAATCATGCCAACCTTACTTACCTGTGAGCCTCTTAGAGGTTATCATTAGTTTCTAAATTGAGCCTCTTCTTTGACCTCCATTCATGTCTTCAGGTCTCTTTTTTCTTACATTATCAATCCACGTTGTCCCATACCAGGCTCCGAGTATCGATCCAGCCTCTTTGGCTCAGGCATCATAAAGACTCTATATCAGCAGCAGAGTGGGAGTAACACATGACATGGGAGTCAGGCAAACATAATACAAGCTTCTGAAAATAGCCTTATCTTCCTCTGCCTCTGCTGTGCTTTTTCCTTTAGCTTTAGCATTGTTATTGATGGGGAAAGAGGAAACCGCCCAAGAATCTATTCGTTGGATCAACTGCTACAAGAAGCTGTAAGTTTACACTAATGCATGAAAATAATCTATACTATAAGAAAATCCATGGTTTGATTATAGGTCACTCAACACATATATTTTCCTGAAGCATCCTTTCCACCTTCTTGCATTTACACATTGCCTTTGAGTTGTTTCCTGTAGCTCTGGCAGACCCTGTCATTTCTCTCTTTCAACCTCCCCAGACTGTCACTCAGGGTCACTGAGGCCATCTAAACCTCTTATGTGAATATGAACATATGGGAGGCAGGACCTTTGTGTTCATGTGTATGAATGTCGCAGAATGTCTGTTAAACCCGGCTCTGTGTGTGGGTGGGATAATCCGACTAACACCTGCGTCCATTCACTTTTTTCAAGTTTAAATAGGGAATGTCATTGAATTTAAAGCTCCACTGCTGCCATAGTAACAGAGCTGTTTACGGGCATGAGGGACAAAAAAGAGGCTGGCTAATTAATCCAGTAGTGATCCAAAAATTGTTGGGCTATTCAGCTTTATAAGTCATAATAAAAATGTTCACTTTATATTTTTTCAGCTGACCATAGGGTTGTGATGATATTTTTAAACTCGATTTCCAGTTGTTTGGATGGATTTGAGTTGTCTCTGAAATTGATGTTTACATAAAATGACAGTCTACTTTGGTCATCCATGAGATGAGACATAATTATATGTTATAGAAACCACAGCAAATTCTTGACTTCTTGGTATTCATCAGTATTTAGTTTTCATATGATTCTTGTGTTTTGTACCCAAGTGTTAGCTTTACTGATTACTGCAGCAGGTGACGTCTGTATCATTTGTTTTTACTAAGAGGATACTGTACTCTGTTGACCAATAAACCTGAAACAGAAAAGCAATATAAACCCTCATCTTCTCCAACTCCTGAAAAAATGATTTACCATTACCAAAGTGGCAAAATTGAAATATGGATTCTAGGAATGTGCTGTTGCTCTAATTAGAGGAAAACAGAAGCTGACAATGAAGTGGGACCTTGGCCAAATTTATTTAAATACATTGCTCAAAAAAATTGAAAGGGACACTTAATCGCCACCCTAAAGAACAAAAGTCATTTCAATTTCAGCGATACCAATCTGTCTATTTAGCAAGTATAAGTGATTGTGAATCAATTTCAACCGCTTTGGTGCAAATGAAAGTGACAACAGATGCAATGGAGAGCCATTTGCAAGACAACCCCCAAAAAGGGGAATAGTTCTGTGGTGGCCACAGCCAATTTCTCTTTCCTTATCCATCCTGACCGATTCTTCTATAGTTTTATGTTCTGCTAGTGTCCTTACCACTACTCGTTGAAATGAGGCGTTACCTGCAGCCCAATCAGGTTGCACATGTAGTCCAGCTTCTCGAGGACGGCACATCCATAAGTGTGGTCCAGATGGTCCACATCCTGGAGTGACCAGATATTATCTTAAACCACCAGTACAGGTGGATGCTGGGGTGGTGGTGGGGCTGACAGCAGTAGCACCATACTGATGCAGGGCAGAGCTAGCAATGACAGAGAAGACGGAGAGACCAGAAACTCAGCAGCTAAAATGAACGGCTAACTGGGAAGATATTTTTGTCTGGTTATTGTTGAGGTATGACACATGTCGACTAGGAAATCAGAGCAGCTCAAGTTGTCTGCCTGAAATAGCTCGCAGGCAACCCCTCATTAAATTGAAACCTTTTTTTTTACAGTTTGTGTTAGGTTTAGTGCAATTAATGTATAAAAGAAAAACATTATTCAGTTTTTTTTGTTTTTAAGTTTTTTCCTTTTTTCTTTGATTATTCCTTTCAAACTTGGCGAAGAAGATCTTAACTATCTCATTAGTTTAGTGTTTATGGTTGGTCCCCTCTTCTATCCTTGCAAGCTTGTTCATACTGATCAATGTCTGATGAGTATGAGCCAGAAGGCTTAGAGGTAGAATGAGTTTCCACACACAGCCTTCTTACAGTTTTCTTATTCTCCTGGCAGCTCTATACCAAGCCCCTCTGGCAACTTAAGTCTTATCTAAACATTTTTTAGTACAGCAGCTGGTTCCATATTATGCCATACCTCCTTGTCTTAAATTAGTCCAAGAGCCTTTTATTTGACTCAGATACCAATATCCCCGATTTTAGTGTGCTTCTTCTCCCTTCCCAATGCACACAAACACCCACATCCACACCTCATCAGTCAAAGGGTCCCTCGCCATGGCAACAGTAAATGAAAGCAACCTGAAAGAGCCCCCAGTGAGTGGCGGATGCTGGGGCTGCCTGCATTGTTGGAGGGAGGATCTGGCAACCTGCAATCACAAGCCCTCTATTCAGGCCCTCTTTAGTATTACTCAGCAAGTCAGGATTTACTGCATCATGGCTTCCGTTCTTTTCAGCCCTGACTGGCACATTGGCATGAGATAAGTGCCGCTTGGAAACGTGGCACAGTCGCTGCCCATGCACAATGCTCCATGGCCTTCACACTATTTGTATATACGCGTGTGTGTGTGGATGCATGCATGCCTCTGTGTGCAGCCTGTAATGAATCTTTATTATGTTTTGGTGTGGCCTTCAGGTCCTGGATATACGTCCAGAGTCAGAGAGTATGCTCAGTGAAGGGACCAGGGTGTGTGCTTACTGGAGTGAACGCTCACGCTGCTTATACCCAGGCTACGTTCGCAGAGGTGAGTCATCAACTTCTTTTCTTTTTTTCTTTATTCCTTGTGTACTCTTCGTCTCTTTATTTATTTAATTGTATCTCCAATCCCATTTTTGATTCACCATTCCTGAGGCAAATACAATTACATCTTTTGCAGGTGGTTCATCTGATGAGGGGAAACAAGGAGGAGTGATGGTAGAGTTTGATGATGGAGACAGAGGAAAGATTTCTCTCCCAAACATCCGCCTCCTGCCTCCAGGATACCAGATTCACTGTGGGTGTCTCCTCTCTGTTTAAATGGAAATGTTCTCCTCTCATGTTGCAGTGTATTGTCTACCTCTATGTAAATGCTAATAATCTTAAACACCTTGTGCTTTAGGTGCAGAGACTTCTCCTGCCCTGTTGGTACCCAGTGGGACAACAGCCAATAGAAGTTCTAGTCTGGAGCAGGTTCCCTTCAGTGACAGACCCTCTGACAGACTGAGCACCATCAATGCCGTCATCAACAGCATCAACAGCCAAACTGTTCACAAACGAAGACCGGGTAAGAATGAACCCCTGGATCTCTTTTTTTCACCAAATGTGTAGGAATAACTGTATAGCAGGTACACCAATTCTTAATATATCATTTTAGCTGTCTTTAAGCTACAATGTGTTTCTAACTGGGACAAAAATACGTCCAGCTATCCAATCCAAGACAATATGCTTGTAAAGTTTACCAGTTTCATTTTGTAGTAACAATATAACTGTTATTTTGTTCATTTCAGGGAGACCAAAGGGTTCTGGGAAAAAACAAAAACAGCAGCAGCAGCAACAGGCAGAAATAGCCAATCGAAATCCTTCTCCTTTCCTGGGTTGGTCTTCATTGGCCAGCACTAGGAAAAGAACATCTGACAATTTATTTCAGCTCAATGGGATACCCAGGAAGGCCATGAGAGGGAAGGAGGGTGATCTGTTTTCCTTGCCTAAGACCCAGCCACTGGCCTCCACACCAGCCAAAGGAATTTTCAGCAGTAGCTCCTTTGAGGTGGACTCCTTCAGCAGCATTGCAAACGGTTACTCTTCTTTTTGTACTCAGTCTACAGGGCCAAGTCCAGGTTTATCTCTGGGCCACAAAAGTGGCCTGTATGATCAGAGGCGCAGGCAGGATGAGTGTACAATGCCAAAGAGCAGGAAGTCTGGACAAGAGTTCCTGGTCAAGTTAGATCATGAAGGAGTGACATCCCCAAAGACAAAAAACAGCAAAGCTCTGCTGTTGCGAGGTGGGTCTTCAGGAGTGAGTTGTATACCAAGGGCGGAGGCATACTCTCACCCAGTGCTGCTGGTTAAAGACAACAAAAAGGGTGGTGCCTCCCGAGTAGAACTTCTGGTGAAAGGAACAACACCTCAAAGAAAGCCTTCGAATTCTCTGCGTCTGGGTGAATATGGCGACTTGGGCTTCAGCTACCGTAGAGAGTGTCACAGCTCATACTCTGATCTGGATGATGAAGAGGACGAGAGGAGCAGGGCTGCACTGGCTGCAGCCTCAGGAGGGCTAAGGACCGCTGGCCGTTTCCTTTCTCGTCTCTCCGTCTCCTCCTCCTCCTCTGGTTCTTCAAGCTCCTCCTCTTCAGGCTCTCTCTCCAGTTCCAGCCTGTGTTCTTCTGACAATGATTCCTCCTACAGCTCAGAGGATGAAGACAGCTCCACACTGATGCTTCAGAGTTGTTTGTCTACCCACCGAGGGCTCCTGCAACCCTCTGAACCCTCCACTTCATCTAGGCCACACCAGCACTCGTTTGTGGCCAAAGCTGTGGCTGTTTCTAATGCCAAAGGAGGAGTCCCAGAACAAGTGTCCAATAGTAAGTCCCTGAAGAGAAAAGAATGCGTCAGCTCCACCTCTAAACCATCCAAGGATTTTGTAAAGAAACCTAGGATGCATCCTGATGACAATTCATTCATTCCAAGGCCCAAGATGTCTGCATTCCTTGCAGGACGACAAATGTGGAAGTGGTCAGGAAACCCTACACAGGTAAGAGTTGTGCTTTCTGCTGTATACCATCAGTGTTGCCCCATCTTTTTTCAAACCAAGTTTCCTCATAATACTAAATCATTCAAGGTTTAGAGAGATAATAACATTCCTCAACATCAAAGGAGATTGGTCAAAATGTCTGCTTTTCCACAGCGGCGAGGTCTTAAGGGCAAGGCCAGGAAGCTTTTCTATAAGGCCATTGTGCGAGGAAGAGACACGGTGAAAGTGGGAGATTGTGCTGTGTTCCTCTCAGCTGGACGCCCTAACCTTCCATACATTGGTCGAATTGAGAACTTATGGGAATCCTGGACCTCCAACATGGTCGTTAAAGTCAAATGGTTTTACCACCCTGAAGAGACAAAGCTTGGAAAGAGGCATCGAGATGGCAAGGTGAGCTGTGATGGAAGTTACAATACCATTGAGATTGTGAGCCACGTGTGGAACATAGACATTTAAGAACATGGCTTTCTTTGTTGGCCATATAATGTTTCAACTAACCCTTTTTTTTATCTTTTCCAGCATGCCCTCTACCAGTCATGTCATGAGGATGAGAATGACGTCCAGACAATCTCTCATAAGTGTCAGGTGGTGAGCAGGGAGGAGTATGAGTGTCTGACTCACAATCAGAAGCCGAACAGTACTTCCCCAGATCTCTACTACCTGGCTGGGACATATGACCCAACTACTGGTCAGTTGGTTTCTGCTGATGGGGTTTCCATTTTGTGCTGAACCTCAATGAGGACACTACTGAAGGACTCTCTTGGAGGAAGTTAAGGTCCATGATGTTAACTAGAAGATCCTCAGACACTGGAAGACAACAAGTTTCCTTGGGTTGCCCCATGGATCCATGGACTAAATGTCAGCACCAAAGAAGGACTGTCTGAGGTCACACACTGGAGTCTACTGGTATCTAATCTTCATAGAGATGATTTGATGTCCAAAACTGGTGGATCCTTTCAAGAAGAAAAGTTCAAAGTCTGGGTCTTTCTGGGCAAATTCAATAAGTGGCATTTCGCTCGTCTTACTAATCTCTTTTTAATGGATCCATTTTGGACAATTTTAAGAAGACTCGTGTTTTCAGCTCTCTTTATACGTCACCAAAGGGGAGCTGGGAGTGCATTTGACTGTGCAAATTACCACACACATGGAATAGTCTTTGCGGACCAATTTTTTAACAGGTAGCCTTACCTAAGGGAATGGAAACAAAAGTAAGGCATGGGGCTCTCCCCCGGACCGCTTCATTCCAGGGAAGTAAAAAAAAAAAGAAAAAAACATGTAAAGGATGTAAAGTTGATGTCTGTAAATAATTTGAATTTTCTTTTCCAATCAAGCCATACACTTCAGTACCTCTCACCTGTCTTAACAGATCAGGTGTACATTGTACAGTTCAATATTGTAATGTTGTTTGTTGTCTATATGTACATAAAAACTATTTTATATAGGAGTTTATTGTATATATGAGATGTATCTTTCCATGTTTGCGATTGATTTATTTTTATATGGGTGTCGAATACATGACGTTGTTTTTCCTTTGCTTTGGGAAGTCAAGATTGGAGGTGTTAGTGTTGCACTGCATATGCCCTGCTGAGACCGACGGAGACAGACAGAGCACAAACAAAGACAGAAGGATTTAGTCTATAACAGGAAAAGGCTCACTTTCTGAGAGAAAGGGGTCAGCCTGTTTAAAAAAAAAAAAGAAATAGGTCAAGTGGCTTTTTGTAAGACTGTCCTGTTACTTTGCATATTTGTTATCCTATTTTAAAAACACATTTTTATTTATGTACCTCTAAGTTGGTCATTGTCACATGGCAGATCCCACTGGACTGCAATCACGGGTCAAAAATGATTCAAGATTAATGACATGAGCGTACCATTACGATACGATATTTGTGTGTGATGAGTGTCCTGGCATCACAAAAATCATGTCCACACAAATCAATTAAGTACAAGACTGGGACTTTTCATGAAATTGCGTTAAATGTGCGTTGCACTCATGAATGCTTAGTTCAGCACATTATGACCGACAAAATACCAAAGTGTCTTTAATGTCTTTATTTCCTTATTTAAATTGAACATGTGTCAAGCACCTGTACTGAACTCAAATCAGAAATCACTGGTAACTTATAGAATACTTGTCCTCCACTATGTGCATAAAGATTTATCTATATATTGGCTTTGCATTGTGACAATGGTTTCTTGCACATGTACCTGCAGTTTTTGTTAAGTGCAAACACATGCAGCAAAAGGCCACCTGGAAGTGTGACTGTGAAGGTCGAGGTACTGACAAAGTAAGACGTGGAGTGCTGACAATTTGTTGGAATTAGTCGATTTTAGTTTCATCAGCCAGCTGTGTCTATTTTGTACAGTACACGCACATTCTAAATGCTAACTGTGAAGGACAATCAGATTCACAAAGCAATGGACATATAAAAGGTTCACTCAATCTGAAAATGACTTAAGTTAATTTAATTTGTGCCAAGTACATTTTGTCCTTATTTTTTTGTCTTGTTTGATATGCAATCCTGAGTATTCTTTGTTCACAAAGTTTTATTTTGTTCGCCAACCTTTTATTTATTGTCATTGTTGCTGTTTTTTTTTCATGCCAAGAGCGCTTTATGAGAATGTGACATTGTTTTTCTTGGTGTGATGTCGCATTTGCATTTCTTAAATAAAACTGGTCTTGTAGAGGCCATCTAGTAAAAAGAAATAAAGCAACACTGGATTCTTCTCATCCACAAACCTCTGTGCATTGATTGCAGTATTCTTGCTGCATTTCCATCATCTTACTGTATCTGCGTATTCCCATCAACACGTATGTATGTGTAACCCAGCTATTTGTACACTCACTGGTACTTATTTCATAGCGTTAAGTTGTTATTATTGTTCAAACAATATTTTTTCTCTACTTTAAACCCAGAAAAAGCTCAATCAACGGAACACTGGAAACGTTACCATCCTCAGGTGAGTGATGTGAATGTGGCGCTTCAATATAAAACATGAAGAAGCCGCTCCTTATTGTAAGTTACAACAGAAATCAGGGTGACACATTTCAGGAATGTCCCCTTGGATGTAGAATAGACAGCTCGAGAGGAGTTTTTAATGTGACTGAGATATTGCTTTTTAAAGACAGGAGTAAAAGAATTCTGTCATCGAAGTGAGATAGACAGACACAAAACCGAAGCCAAAGAGAAAGTTTTAGAGCAGGCTGACTTACTCATTTTACATCGGTGCTTTTTTGGACAAATTTATAGATTTTATTTTTTGCTTTACCCCCCACCTTACATCCCCGCCACCCAAAAAACCTGGAAAATTACACTTTATTACACCAACCAACAAAAGGAAGTAATTGCTTCAGCCAGATCACTCACTGTATGTCATGCATGTCATCAGCTGATTTTAACTGACTGACTTACTCCCATTCTTCCCATTCACGCTGCCTTTGCTGCAACTGGTTATACTGTTTATTCCCATATCACATGGCTGATTTCTCCCTTAACCATCCCACAGCCTCCACCTGTTCTGGTTTCTTATTACTACACATGGTGATGGCAGCCTTTTTGCCTTGTTTTGCATTATGTATACCACATATTTCATTTATATGTGCGCATGCCTCTCTTCTTTATATGCCTTAGGGAGTTTTAATGTGCTCCCTTTAGAATTTTTTTTTTTATTCATTTGTAAAGCACACAACTCTTATTCTGCCAATTCTTTTATTTGTTGCGGTAAATCCTTTGATGTTAGTGTCTCTGGCTGAACTAAGTTGATGTGAGCTTTGGGTTCCTTAGTAAATAGAGACAAATCTGTCACAGCATCAGATAAAGCCTACTGGGTTTAGCTGCCAAGCTCTGTAAATATGATGTTGACTGATTCAGGGATAGATCAGAGTTTTTTTGTGATTTATGATAAAGTACGTTTGCCTGTTTTCCCTCAAAACTAATTGGTTGTTGGTTGTTGTATCTGTTGGGCGGTGGGAAAAAAAGGAGACAAAACAAAGGAAATAGGCGCTGAGCTATCATTTTGTCAAACACCCAATTCAGCATTCAAAGAGTTAAATGTTTTCTAGATTTGTAAATGTGATTTTTTTTTTTTTATTTAGCTGCAACTTTTAAACTGAGTTTGTGATACTGAACCAGGAGTTCTTTGACTGGAAAAATTCAATTTTGAAAAGCTTAGATTTTATTCAAATTAAATGGTTATTTAGATTTTTAAAAAGGCACGTATGATACATTTTTATCAGCTCAACGGAGAATATATCTAAAGGAGGATGCCCTCTAGTGGTGGAAAAAATATGCTACAGCACGTAGCATAATGTGAGACCATCAATTATTCTGTTATGGACTCCAAGACAGCGTCGTTTGGGTTGTTTTTCTCGACAATAGTGCACAAAATGGAATGAGTGATATGATCCCTTCTCCATTCATTGCCAGGTATATTCCTCTATACCACCACACAAGACATAACCTGCAGCTGCTGTACATTTGCATACATGCTCGTTTTGCTCTGACAAAGCCAATCTCTGTAACCTGTGTCAGTGATATGACCACTAGCTAGGCCTGGAGGAGACACAATATGGGTCAGTGACCTTTCTCGGCAGGCCCACGGGGTCTTTTTGTCCTGCATGGAGACCAAGCGCCATCACCCCCTCCCCCTAATGCCCAGACAGGGGCTAATGGGCACATCAGTCATCTCCAACAGCGGGCCAGTGAACACAAACAGCTCTGTTTACCACCACAACCTTTAGTGTTGACTATGGTCACTGCCCCGTGTCAGAGCCATGGCCCTTCCTGCATCAGCAGCATGGGGGTAGGAGGGAATCTCCCCACCACTGGAGCCGGTGATGGGGTTAAGAGTGGGTGTGTAAGGGGGGGTTAAGATTATTACCATGTTTTGAGAGGGATTTGCTTCATTGCTCTTCTGTGCTTAGAGGAGCAGGGCAAATATATGAGTCATAAATGATCTAATATAATAATAGAACAAGATTGTAAAATGTTGTATATTTTTCACAAACTATCCACTTTTGCATGAAGCTGCGCAAACATGCAATATCTGTGGGAAAGATAAGGTCACAAAAATAGGTCACTGCACTGAAAAAATAAGAACCTGGATTCTATTACGTCTCACTCGACAGGCTGGTCCGCCTGCCTGACTTTTCAGTGCCTGTCTGGTTCAGCTCGCTCAGCATCCAGACTGTGTTGCTCAGTGTCAACAGGAGGAATGCTTTCCTGCACAAATATCTACACCTCATAAATGTCTCGCCCTCTGCTTGACCCTGTCTGGCCTCTGACTGTGAGGGGGTTGAACGGGGGGGGGGGACAGACAGCCCTGTGTGTGTGTGTGTGTGTGTGTGTGTGTAGCACTGGGGTTGAGGTGAGGTCTTGGGTCTTAACATGGTGCTGGGAGAAAAGAGAAGGACAAACAGATCCCTCAGATGATGACTGTGTCTTCTTAAAAGGCCCTACAATCGTGATCATTAGTTTTTGAGGATATCAATTATGGAGCAGATGTCACCACAGTAGAATAATACAAACCAAACTGTATGCAGGAGTAACAGAAGCTTCCAAGTCATTCCTCTATGGAGTGAAGCAATAGTGCAGCAACAGCGTGAAAAAACATCTCGTATCTTTGATGTCTACATTTGGATACAAATATTAAAGAGCCAGGCTTGCAAAAGAGAGAAATACTGTAGTGAAAAGTAAAAGTTTCAAAAAGGATGTTTCTGTCAAATTTGATAAACTTTCAATGTAATAAACAAGACCTGTAACAATGTGTTTAAAGACAGATACAGGGCTCACTGTTAAACATTGTGCTTGTAAACTCCACATCATTTAAAAATGTGTATTTTTACAGCATGAGCATTAAATGTTTGCAATATCTTCACTTCCTCACAGGGATTTGCAGCACTATTGCATGCTCCTGTGCTGCGTGGACACATGAATCTCTCTCACCATGTTGTGTCTTGCATGCTGTTGCCCCCCATCCAGCCATGCCACCCCTAATCCATTTCTCAGTTGCTCATTATAAGTGGCTTGTAAAGATTCGGTATCAGCTATGCTAGAAGAGCTTTCCTCAGCATTACATTGGATTACTGTTGCTCATCGCTACATATGTTGCTCACAAACTCTGATAGGATAACGCAACCCTGCTTACATGATGCTGACAAAATAACAACTGCATGACTCATTACTGTACAAGGGTGTTTCCCTTCTACTACTGTGGTTCATACATTCTGATAAATCTTCTTATCCACATAATATTACTAAGAGTACAGTCAGGACCTGATCTTTTTTTTTTAAGTCTTGGGTTTACATGTATTATGATTTGGAGCTATACGAATAAAAATGATGATTGACTGATCCAGATTTGACATAACAGCAGTGGATCATCCATAAATGAATGAATCAGGAAACTTAAAAGAAATGAGGATCAAGCATTTTCCTATGGGGAGATATTTGAAGGGGGATGGTCCACTCTGGGGTTATTTCATCTGTAACTATAAAATATTTCTAATTCCACGAGTGCTTAGAATGAGAGAGAAAGGGATTTTAATAGTTACATGGCCTCAAACTATCTCAGATATGTATCTGCCCTGAAATACACACTCACCATCTAATGGCACAACTTGACTCCTGTCACAGAATTCTGCCAATTGAAGTGATGTAGGCAGTTTGTAAATGGGTATATCCAAAAGATCTAGGAAATGTGAACAAAAAATGTGAACCTGGGCAGTTCAGCAATCTTTGAAGCACACACAGGGTTCAGGCTGGGTTTAACCAGTTGCTGCCAAAATGCGGCCTCAACCCCTTCATGAGTCTGGATTTCATCTTAACATGTAAAGATGCCTTCACGTCTTCCTCTTGTCACCTAACAATACGAAATTTGAGTGAACACCTGCAGTGTCCACAGAACACTCCTGACCCAACAATAGAGTTACAGTCCGTTAGAAAAGGGGTCAGCGGCCTGCTCAGACTGTCCGATTTGTCAGAGCGGGACAGCTGGAAACACTTTAAAACAAGAGTAATAAAAACACAAAGATGTTTGTCCAAGTAGAAAGAGAGATTAATGAGCTCAACTGATAGGTTGCATCCAAAATCTAATCAATAAAGGTAATTGGTTTATAATGAAGTAAGGTTGCAGGTACAGTTCTTAAACACTTTTAATTATGCAACCATTAAAAAAAAGGTTTAGTTATGTATGGAAACCTGAGGCTGGGTGGAACATTGCAGCTCATTCTCCTTAATACACCCCCCCCCCTCTCTCTTTCCACACCTTGCTGTGTAGTGGTGTTTGTGCATTCTTGTGTCGACAACCCCTCCGTCTAGTTCTCTGGGGTGTTTACCCCCTTTCACGGTAGCAGGGAAGCAGCTCCCGCCATCCCATCTCTGTTTACATTGCTCTTCTCCTCTATTTACTCTGTGCTCCAGCGCCCTGGTGCACCGCGCTCCAAACAGCTGTTCCATTATGGAGAGAGCAGGCGCTTCAACCGCACAGTGCTGCCACACAGCTCTCTCTCTGTCTCTCTCTCTGTCTCTCTCTCTCTCTCTCTCTCTCTGACAGCCCACCGTGGTCGCTAGCATGATGACTGCCTGGCTCCGCTGGCACGCCTGCCATTGTTGCCATAAAGCTCAGTCTCCTCCAATGCCAGAGTGGCTTCTGGGCATAGAGTCAGCCAGGGCAACTGTCAGAGATTGTCTTTAAACCGCAAGACAAATTTGCCAAGTTTAGCTTTTGATT